ATATCTTCTATTTGGGAAAGGCCTCCTGTCCTGTGTTATTGTGAAATTTTACTGCCTCCTCTCGTACCTATGGCTGGTGTGATCCAGTTATGAATTTTAGCAGGAGAGTTTATTTCCTTTGTCATATGGTGGCAGTGGAACACAGCATGGTAGACTGACTTGGGAATGAGGGCTTGTTCTCAGTACAGGACCAGAAGTAGTCTAGATCAGCAGTCTCTTTGTACGGTGGTTCTCCACATTTCAATCACACAACCACATCAGTAAATAGCGTGGTCCCTTCTCCCCCATTTGTACATATTTATTCATAAAGTGTACATGCTCCTACCACTGTCCTCAAAATGACCATTATAAAATAGATACAAAATCTAAATGTTTACAGAATGAGAAGGAACAAAAATAAATGGTTCTAATATTCTTTTTTACTCCCCAATGAATTGTCCTACTCACTCCGCTTTAGAAAACACTGCCATTCTAAAGGATATACCCCATCTTGCAGCAACATTTGTATTTTGAATTTTTCAATTAAAAATTAAAATTATATCTGAATTAACAGTCATAATGATTTTCTTTCACATGGTCTATATCAATTCTAAAAATCTATTTTCTTTCATCTAGGTAAGTGATTCTGAAAATACACCCCCCAGACCAACAATATTGTCATCACATGGGAGCTTGTTAAAATGCAGGTTCTAAGAGCTACCAAATCAGAAATTCCTGGGGGTGGGGCCCAGGATTCTGTGTTTTAATTAGCCTGTGTTTTTAACCAGATGATTCTAATACACATTAAAGTGTAAGAACCCCCCACCTAAAACATGAGGCCATTTGAACCTTATTTTTGCCAACAAATTCTTGTAGAACGTGTCTTTAATGTGCTAAATGTCAAGTTTGAGATTTAATGACATTCCTTAACAATTTCAGGATTTACTGGAGATGCAGTATGAAGGAGTAGCTGTAATGAAAATGTTTGATAAGGTTAAAGTGAATGTAAACCTTCTCATATACCTGCTGAATAAGAAATTCTATGGAAAGTGAAGTGCCTCCAGACATTTCATGGATTCTGCATCATCTGGATCGGGAAATGAGTCTGTTTAGTATTTTTGTTTTTAAACATGATTGAAATCACTGCTTATAAATGTGTGATGTTTTTAAAAAAAAAAAACCAAAACTATTCTGAAGAATGTACCCATTGTGCCTTGTTGATAATTTGATACTACAGTAGAATGATACACAAAATGAATTAATGTAAACACTTTCACATTATACTGTGTGATAGGTACTCTAATTTTAAACTTTGAACATTTTGTGATTTGTTTTAAAGTAGGGAGAAAAGAAGTTTAGTTCACTAGGGACAAATGTGTAAACCTATTTTCCTATTAAAAAAAAGATTTTAAATGTCCCATTTGAATAATGTAATTCTTCATAGATCTTTTTTATCTGTGAAGAAATGGGAACCTAATTATTTGTAATGAATTATTTAGACAGATACTTAGCTCTAAGCCCTGTCTTCTGGGAGTTATCAATTTTAAAGAGAACTTTTGTGCAATTTAAAATGAAGTTTTTATAAGTAATTGAAGGTGACCATACAATAACACTTTCTGTATAAAAGTATATATTTTATGTGATTTATTCCTATTAAATGAAGTGCACTACTGCCTCATGGTAAAGACTCTTCTACCCAGAGCCTTTAAGTGACTAAGGAACAACGTGGATAGCAAGCAATCTTAGGTCGCCACCTGCACCCCTCACAATTTATTTCAATACTTCAATTGTGCCTCTCAAATTTTTGTAATGCAATAAAATCAGCATCTAGATGGTTTTTAAATGTATTCTTTGAAAATTGTTTCATGTAAAATAAATGTTACTGAATTACCTTAATTTGGCTCTTTAGTTGTCTTAATAAATCCAAATCATTTAATGGAGAAGACTCTTGGTGGGGCTTATCAGGAAAAGAAAAAATACACCTATAATTTATGTGTTGGAGTACAGAGTAAGCTGCTGTGACCAGGAGACCCAAAACCCTGTGGCTGAAACGAAATAGAAGTTTATTTTTCTCAAATTGAGCAATTCCAAGGTAAGCGAGTAGGCACACAAGATTATCCAGGGATCCAGGCTAGCCAGCTGGCTCTGTCGCTGTCACTGATTCCTGGCGATCAGGAAGGAGGAAAGAAGTCCAGGGCAAGCGTTTTAAGTTACATGTCCCGTCAGCTTACATCCCATTGGCCAAAACTTAGTCATGTGGCCACAGCTTATTTCAAGAGAGGCCGGGAAACATGGGCCCCAACCAGACAGCCATGTCCCCAGTTAAAACGTGGGGTAGAGAGGGAGGTGGTGCTATTATTAAAAGAAAGGGAGAGTGATTCCTGGGGACAATTTAGCAGTCTCCACCTCAGTGGTAATCCCACCTCTCAGACTGGAACACCACCACACACTTTGTACTCTGTTCATTCATTCAACAGGCTTTATTTTCCACGGGGATTACCATAGATTGAGAAAGTGAGTTATCCACTTTTGGCACAAATGAACTTCCAGAGTACAACCAATAAAAATTGGAAAATTCAAATTTTAAAAAGTGAAATCTGCTACTTTAGTGATTGTTTCAGGCTACACATATTTTTTACAAAGAACTTAAAAGCCTTGAAACAATTCTCATTGTCTCAACAGTTTGTGGATATGTTTTTTAATTGTGTTCACCTTGATACAGACTTCTGTAAAAGGAGTAAAAATAAACATACAGTTAAGTTCACTTTGAGAGTAAACCTCCCTTTTCCCTACAGCTAGCATTCGGTGAGGAGCAGGAGCCAGGTGCAGTGAGGCAGGTGAAGCTTCCTTCTTCATGCTCCAGGAAAGACTCCGTGGAAATGTACAGAAGCCAAAAAGGGAAAGAGGTTTGGAGGCAAAAGCTAACCTTTCATAGCATCTCTAAAAGGAGCTTGTCTTAACTTATTCCAACAGTGAATGAAATGTTTGAGTGTTATTTGTATGAATAATGATCTTTTTGTCAGGCCAACACCCTCAAGGAAAGGGGTGAATGTTTTCTCTCTGTTGGCCCAGAGATGTGGTTATTGTTGAAGATAATACCAGTGGTTATCTGTTTGAGATCTTTAAAGAATGTGATTGAATGGATGCCTCAGAGAAGAAAGCAGGTGATGAAGAAAAAGACCAAGACCAAGAAACCAGTGGAGGCCTGGGACGGAGATGGTTGGAGCCAAGGCCAGTGCCTCTACCAGGACCAGGGAACCATTTTCCAAGCCAGGGGTGAAATGGGCCAATTCACTGAAAGGTAAGAAGAGGAAACAAAGGTTGCCCTGCCATGCTAAGTCTCAGGTGAAAATGTGATCTCTGGCAATAGCTGCTGTCTTCCTGGTACAGGCAGCCTTTCCAATGTAAATTTCTCTTACAAAAGGGTAATGTCTACTGTTTTCAGAGCTTCTCCTGTGTCTGCAGTTTCTCAAAATAATCAGTTCAAAATAAGATTGTGCCAAAGATGCATATTTTGAGGTGGCCCATTCTGCTACCCATCACTATCTTGCTCCCCAGGACTCATAGCTTTTCTTAGGAAGAAGAAAAAAAAAATTTTTTTTTTTTGGCTTTTAAAACACTTAGCAATTGAAACAATAACTTGATTTTTACATAGCTTACTCCTGTATTTTGATGTATATTTGATCATGTTTTCACTGTTACAAAAATGGTCTTTGGAGGACTGAGAAGATCCATGAACTCCATTTTTTAGCACCCAGAAAGGAAAAAAGCAAAACAGACTTAAAGAGCACTCTAACTACTATGGGGGGAGGGGGGAGAGAATTTTCCTTCGGGAGTTCCCTAAGAATATGGGACCCCAGGACAAATTGGGCAGTTGAGGCTTATATGCCATTCTTTCTTGACTAAGGAGAAGAAGGCAGGTATCTGGGACTTCAAAGGGCAAGTGGGCAATTTGCAGGTAGGTGACAAGAGCAAACTTGGTAAACAAATTCTCTGCCAGGCCACCTAAAAACAATGGGACACAGAGGGGAGTCTATGAAACTTGACCTTGCTAAATTCCTGTCTGTCACATTTAGTCCACATTATGCTAACAGAATAGCTCCCCTCCTTCAAGCAGGTTTTTCTATTTGAATTCCTTTAGGCAGGTAAATGGGAAGGTCAAAGTTTCTGAATCTTTTGTTTCTTAATATAACCAGCATAAAATAATATCCCAAAAAGCATATTTTGAGGTGGCAAACTGCTTCCCCTCAGTACTCTCAAAAGATATGCTTTAATGATCTCCAAGAAGGGGAAAACCTGTGCATACTACAATATTCTGCAATTCTGTGGTGAAGAAAGAGACTACCTCAGTGTGATCATTGTCTGATATGACACATCTCCCTTACCAGAACCATAATGTGTGTGTTTGTATAAAGACCAAATGTCATTGAAAGAACAGGACCATAATGTGTGTGTGGTTGGGCACTAATTAGAGATGTTATTCATGATGTAAGTTTTACAACTTGGGCTGTGGTTAAGTAGGAATTTGTGGTATTCTCAAACATTCCAAGAGGCAAACTGCAGAACTCTGAATGGTGAAAGTTGTCTATATTTTGAGAGATTCTAGTGATCATTGGATGATCTTACTGCTGATCAGCTTTTAGAAACATCGATTGCCTCTGTTACCGAAACCAAGATTTAGTAACAGATTAAGATACAGCCCTCTTAAATGGTCTCTGAGCTCCAGAGGACAGAAACTGTTCGAGTCACTGCTGTGAGTTCAGAGCATTGGCAGTGCTTTGTAAATGGCAGAGAGGTGAAGTCCCAGAGGCAGGTGCTACAGTGGATTGAGAAGAAATCATATGCTACCACCTCACTGCCTCTCAGGACTCCTAGCATTGCTTTCAGTTGGCGCTGGTGTTGTTGGGACAGATACTGATTATCTCAGTCTAACAGTGCATATGCGTTCAACTCAATCTCCAAATAAAATAGCTCATAAAGCTTTTTCTAGGATGCTTCACTGTTGTTTTCCTTAGACTATAAAATCTCTTAGCTAAAATACATTGGAGGGTGTGATGGTTAATTTTATGTGTCAGCTTGAGCAGGCTCAGGGTTGCCCAGACAGCTGGTAAAACATGATTTCTGGGTATGTTTGTGAGGGTGTTTCCAGAATAGGTTAGCATCTGAACCTGTGGACTGAGCAAATTGCCCTTACCAATGTGGGCAGGCGTCATCCAATATATATTGAGATACCAAACAGAATAAAAAGACCCAGGAAGGGCCGGCCGAGTGGTTCAGTTGGTTAAGAGCTCGCTCAAGAGTTTGAGCCCTGAGCAACAGCGGTTCGAGTCCCAGCCCGAGCTGAGCAGCTGCTGAGCTGCCAACAGGTGGCAGGATGGCTCAGCTAAAAAAAAAAAATAATAATAATAAAAGACCCAGTAAGAGCCAATTCTCTCTCATTGACCTGGGACTTCTATCTTCTGACATCAGACATCACATTAGAGCTTCAGGGTTCTCAGGTCTTCTTCAGATTCTGGGAGTTAGACCATCAGCTCTGGTTTTCAGACCTTTGAACTCACATTGAATTATTCCACTAGCTTTCCTCCTCCTTCAGCTTGCGGACAGCAGGTAATGGGACTTCTCAGCCTCCTTAACCATAATAAACCTCCTTATATATAGCAAATATCCTATTGGTTCTCTTTCTCTGGAGAACCCTCATTAATACAGAAGGGAAATAAGTAAATATGAGAAGCAAAAGATATCAAGTTCACCTTATATAACTCAAAAAGTTTTTATTTTCCTTTTAACAGATACTGAATTTGACCTCTTATCACCCCACCCACAGGGGTAGTTTACCATTCTATCCATGGTATAGATTAGAACTAGTAAAAATACTGTTGTTGATGCCTTATGAGATTGACTTTACTTATAAACCCAAAATACAAATGCAGGTTTATGACAACAAAAGGCAGAAACAAGCCTCCTGCTGGTTAGCTTGTAACTTGATTACAGACCTACTGCTTGCTTGAAAAACAAATATGAAGATAGCTGCACAGAATCTGAAGTATCTCACATGGACTTCGAAGAAAACTTTGTTTCATTTCGTTTGAGTCCTGGTATCATTACCATTAGCTTCCAAAAGTAAATTACTAGGCAAGTTCTTGGGATATTCTGTTGTCTTCCCAGGGCTTGGAATAGAGGAGCGGTAACCAGAATATCTGAAGCAGTTAGATCATCCAAGGGTTTAAAAGAAACTGCTTTTCATGTCATCGTGGGATTAAAACTTTCACCATTTTGATGTCGCACTTTTTCTGAAACACTACTAAATACCACGAACACTGTGAGAGGATAGCTAATGACTTATACTATTTGGTGCCAGGCAAGTTCAAGAAAGAAAATGAAAACTGGGAATAGATATCAAGTGGTTCCAATATAAATGCTGCTGCAATGTTGAGATTTTATTTCTGAAAAATATCAACATGTAAGGTAACCATCTCTGGTTAGGTCAATTGTCTACTTTGGGGAAGCTACACAGATTTGCTCTAAAACTGGCAACAAAGAGGTTTTGGTTTGGGTGACATGGGACAAATGAAAGAGAAACGGATAGCTTTTTCAAGAAGCTCTAAAGAGCATACAAATATTATAGAAACTTTGTAGAGGCTGAAGAAAAAAGCAGAAAACAGAACATCACCAACAGACTATAACACAAAATTAGAAACCAATCACAAAAAGCCAGTCAAAGCTTTCAATAATTTAGGGGTTGAAAAAGATAATAAAATTCACAAAATATTTAGACCTGAACTGCATACATGTACATATCAAAAAACTTGCAAAATGCAGCTGCGGTGGTCATTTAAGGGAGAAGCAGTGACAATTAACAAGTGAAGCAATCAGTTCAAAGGTTAAGTGAGTAAAAGTGCAAATCCAAAGAAAGTAGAAATAATTTTTTAAAGCCTGTGTAAAAATTAATATAACATTAAAAAGAAACTAAAAGCAACAAAACAAAAAGAGGGGCACTGGAAAATGGTCATTTTTCAACCTCTGGCTAGATTAATCAAGAAAAAAAAAAGCAAAAATATGCTAGTAGGTATAAAAATGGGGACTAAAGTGCAGGTAAAATAGATAGCTTTAGCAGAATAAAATGTGGTATATAATACAAGGGATACCATAAAGAGTTTTAAAAGAATTCAATATGAATGTATTGGTAAGAGATAAATCTAGAAAAATGCAAACTGCAGAAGTATTCCTAGAGTGTGTTGCTCTTTGTGTAAATATTTAAAATATACAAAGCAATACTCTTTTTTAAAAAACATAAATATATTAAAAGTACAAAACAGGGAGAGAAAATTTCTCTCCTGGGCAAGAAAAAGAATGGAGTCAGAAAAGGGTACAAAAAAGCTTAACTGGTATGATAAATGTATATATTTACACTTGTATGTTAATGCTGGGTTGTAGGCCCATGGGTGTGATAGTAGGTTCTGTACTTTCATATGCTTAAAATGCTGTGTAATTTAAAGAAAGTCACACAAACTATATGAACTCAGTTCAGTTCTTTTTTACCCCTTAAAGCAGTAGTTTTCAAAGTATGTCCCTTGCACATACCGCCAACACTCCCCCACCCCCACCCCAAACTTCAGCCTGACCTAGGAACTTCTTTAAATGCAAATTTTCAAACCACACCCTACACCTAACTAAATCAGAAACACTAGAGATAGGGATCAACGCTGTGGTTTAACAAGTTTTCCAGATGATTCTGATCCATGGTTAACTTAAGTTTGAGAACCTTAGAATAATGTTTCTCTAAACTTTGGTCTGGCATCAGAGATCACCATGGGGAGTGAGGGGTGGGGAGAGGGGGGAGGAGGGAGGTGTTTGTCAGAAATGTAAGCTTTGATTTCATAGGTCTGGGATGGGGTCCAGGAATTTACACTTGGGTGTGATGAAAGTTAAAGCCACTGTTTTTAAAGGTAGGTTTAACTTTTGGTGGCCACTAAATTAGCAAACCACAATCTTTAGAAAATAAAGTGAGAAAGAAATATCTCATTCTGTACCACTCTTCCTCCTTGTTCACTTTCTTTTCAGCCCCACTGTAAAGAACACTTTAGATAATATGCATAAAGAATTTAAGCATGTCGTTATTTTAGCAGCCCTCTTTTTGTCACTAGAGGTACATTCTGTTCTAATAACTAATAAAAAAAAAAAGAATCCTTTTAAACTTTACAGTTTTGTAAAATGGTTAAAAACATTTTCCACCAATAAAACATAAAATTTTAAAGTGTTGCAGACAGTATTAGTCTACTTTTAAGGAAATACTTATATAGTTGTATGTGGTTACAATTTCTTGAATGATAGAAACGTTTAACAGTGGAGATGTGTGTGGTTCTTAGAAGGGAAGGCTGGAGATACTTGGACATTTCATTTTATATCCTCAAGCTGTTACAATCTCTTGCCATGTGTTTTGATTTCTTTTATATTTTATGCTGTATTTCACTGGTGCCCTTTTTCATGTTTAAACAATCCTGAAATTGAGATGTTTCTTGCAATCAATAATATGTTACAGTTTATTTATTTAAAATATTTTATTGGGGAATCGGGGGAGGGAAACAGACAAGTTGCTGTCCTTTTGTTCTTCAGTCTAGTTGTGGAGGACGTTGCTTCACTGGCCCAAGTTGGCACCATCATTGCTCTCTTCTTGGGTGAAGCAGTCACTCGCCAGCCATTGGACAGCCACTCACGGCAGTGCAGGATTGCTGCCAGTCACTCTGGTAGCTTACAGCAGCCCACTGTAGCCTACGCCATCTCCCGCAACTCATGGCAGCCCAGCTCCAGGTCGAGCTGTTGTTCACCATCTTAGCTGTAGAGGGCAGTGTCACTGGCACTCATGTGTAATCCGAACCTGGGCCCTGCTTCTCAGAGCTGGTGTTCCCAATCCAACGCCTAGCCACTCGGCTGGCCCAATATGTCACAGTTTAATTGACAGCCTTTTTTTCTTGCTTGTGGTACATAAATGAAAAGGATGTCTTAAAATCAATGGATTGATGAAAATAGTATACATTAATAGGGAGTGGAATAGATATGGTTTTAATATCTACTCTTGAATATGTTTTCCTCAAAGGATTGAATAAGAAAAATTTTGAAATATCGTTATATAATTAGGTTATCACTAATTTATTGAGCTGCTTCTATAAACAACAAGGTGCTGTGCTCTGAGGATGATGGGCAGGAGGGGGGAGGAGTAGCGGTATATAGGAAGGAACCAGCCAGTTTTTGCTGTGTTTTCTCCACTGGTTTGAGTGTCAGGGCGCTTGTTGGGGCATCACACCGTCAATGTGCAGTTCCTTTTACAAAAAGCTTAGCAACCTGACCAGTGACTCTCAACTGAAGTTTATCAGCCAAAGAGTGCAGAACATGCCCGCTCATCCTGTGGGTGATCTTTCCTAGAATCCGCCCGTTGCGGGGACCCGCTTCCCGCTGCGGTCTAAAAGACGCCCTCACCAGTTAGGCTCTGTAAGAAAAATAAGTAGCGTTCTGGGCCTCAGCGGAGACGTCCTCCAGAGGCCCTAAGCGCGCGGCGCGAGTGTCCCCCGCCCTGTGACCTGAATTTGGCCCAACTCTATTAAACCCACGATATATGGTCCAAGAAAATGTGAGCTCCTCTTAACCAGAGCAGTTCGCCCTCTGAGCACCCGATTCACCGGCGGCGCCGAGTACTGCCCTGGGCACGGGGGATGCCAGCCGGACCTTCTCCCGGGAAAGGCTGCTCAGGTGATTCTAATGGGAAGCTCCGCGGAGAGCTGCGGTGAAAGGACAGAATTTCCAAATTCCTGAGGTCCGGCGCTTTGCATGGGGACAGGGAGGTCCCGGCCGTGGGGGCCGACGCCCCGGGGCGCATCCCTGACCCGAGGTCCACTGCAGAGGTCTTTGCTCCCTGGAGGGTAATGAGAGGCCAAGGGGGCAGCCGTCCAGGCGCGCGACCCGGTTCCAAGGCCCCCCCGCCAGACTGAGTCACTGATATTTAGTGGGTCCAAGACGCCCAGAGGGGAAAATGTCTAGTTTGGATTCCCCTCCCGGGCAGTGGTCAGTAGTCCGGGGCAGGGCGGGGCGCGGGGGAGGGCGGAAGGAGGAGAGAGGCCGGCGCACCGAACCAAAGGGGCTCAGGCTCAGCGGCGCCCAGTCCTGGGGGTAGTTAAGCCGCCGCCGAGGAACAGGCGGAGAGTGGGGTCCCACGACCGCGTCGAGGCCCGCAGTCGGCGCCGGGGGGCGCCCTTCCCCGCTCGCGCCGCTTGGCACCCGCCCGCCCCGCCCCGCGCCCCGCGCCCAGCCCTCTCCCAGGCCACCAGACACGCGGACCCGCGGTGCAGCGCTGAGCTCTCCTTCTGCCCACCCGCGGCGAGCGCTCTGCCAGTCCTCGCGTACCGGGGGGCTGCTGGACCCGGCGGGAGGAGCGGGAAAAGCACGGAGCCGAGCCTCCCAGGGGCGGGGACAGTCTCCCGGAGCAGCGCCGCGCGGACCGCGCCGAGTCTTGGGACAATGGGGCCGCGGCGGCTGCTGCTGCTTGTCGCCGCGGGACTCAGTCTGTGCGGCCCCCAGCTATCCGCCGGCTCCCAAGGCCGCGAGCCAGGTGAGAGCTGCCTCTAGTATTCCCTCCCTACCAACCTACGGCCGGGTAGCCGGTGACCTCCGCGGGCTTGGGGCGGGCGGGAGGAGGAGGGACGGTGCTGGGTGACAAAGTGGGTACAGGTTGCGCTTTCTTTTGGGGGTGGAGGAGTGCCCCTGACCTCCCCCTCTGCTTCTCCAGAAGCAAAACAGGCGTTTGGGCTGAGATCCACATTCTCCCTCAGTCGTATCCAGGTGGGCCGTGCCCATCCGCCCCCTCACCCCGCTTCGCGGGCTCAGCTGAAGCCCCTTTACACTTAATTTTGGAGGACGCACGGGCCTCCCACAGGGGGTTGCATGTGGAGGAAGCGGAGGTCAGATTTCCCAGGGAAGCCTCCTTGCATTTGTTTTCACTGTGTGGCCTGTTTTTCCCAGGACCACCCCAAAAAGCAAGTCCCACGTCGCTCCACCAATAAACGTTACGGCCTTTTCAATATAAAGTGGAGAACCGCTGCTCCTGAAATTTCGTTTTGTTGGAGTTGTTTTTCTTGCACATTTTACAGGCGAAGAAAGTGGTGTAGAGAAAAAGTTCGGTCCTTCTGCACGTTTAGCAGAAAATCAGTACCAGCAGCCCCTAGCACGGGCCTTGTGTACAGGCGGAGCTCATGGTGGGGGTTGGGGCTGTAGAGTGATGATAACAGTATAGCCACGGGTCCGTGGTGGTGGTTGTGCTGCTGGTGGTGGTGGTGATGGTGGTTGGGAGATTTGTTTGTTACCTAGAACCCAGCCTCCCAAGTGAGTTGAGGAAAGAGATCCCTCCCCTGAACCTGGCTCCCCTGACATCATGGAATTTCAGTATTGGGGTTTCTGATCGGCTGCAAGGAGGAGGTTGCTCAATAGAATGTATTTACCACCAGCAGTGTACTTTTAAGTATCTCTCTACTTGAGGGAATAAATGTATTTTCCAACGTCTTCAAAAAGTGCGGAGAAGTTGGTTTTAGCCTGCAAAAACGCTAGTTAGAAAATGTGTGTGTTTTAATGTCGTTATAGCAATAGTACTTTATAAGCTTCCGGCCACTTTTTTCATGAAGAAACAAATTCTAGCTGGTTTTCTTTTTCTGTTATCTGTGAAAGGTGGTGTACTCTTGTTGCTTTCACAGTGGAAATAGCGTGGACGCAACAAGATTAAGAGGTTGACAAAGACAGCATTGTTTCTGTTCTCTCTCTTTGCTCAGGATGAGTTTTGTTTTGAGGTGATGCTTTGGGAGACATAAGAGCCCCAGATAGGGGTTCACAGTTTTACAGCAACTAGCCAGCCTGCTGCGAATAACATGAACATTAGCTCCTGGAGTGTTTGGGGAAACAGGTCTCCTGAAAAATTGTAGATAGTGAATTTTATTGTGGGGCAGGCTCTGAAGAATACAAATTTTTGTTTAAGATTTGGATGGTGGAGTGGGACATAGGTTTATACAAATGCTTCATCCATGGTAGTCACCTTTCCTCGGGGCAGCCCCAGGACGGCTTTTGGCCTGTTAGGGAGTGAAGTTAAGGCTGCTGTGTCTGCCACGGCCTCTTTCTCATCAGTTTAGATTATGCATGCGAAGATGCAATACTGGTATAGACAGAAAAATAACTGAGCAAACATTAGTTAAGTTATCTATGCTGGATTCTGGAACCAGTTTGGGAGGGAAAGAAGAAAGGAGGATGAGAGAAGAAAAGGAACACGTGTGAAGTGCCACATTCTGTGTCAAACCCTGGGCCTTCAGATGATGATCTCATTTCACTCTCTCAAAACACGCTGTTAGGTGAGTGTTTATCCCCATTTGCCAATTCTGAAACCAAGGCTCAGACAGTGTACCAAAAGTCCAAGTGGAGGAGGGGACCCTGGGTACAGGCAGTACGTGGGACCTTGTCTTTAAATCATTTTAAATCATCAATAAAAGATAAATCTCCTTTATATTATCACCGTATATTGGCAATTCTAAACATTGAGTGTCATAACCAGCTCTATGCAATGAGAGAGGCTGTGAGACCCCAGCCACAGAACCGCTCCAGGGCTGGCCATGCCCACCAGTTTGAGCCTTCCCAAAGCACTCTTGGACTTTTTGTCCCCATTCATTTTGGCATTTCCTGCATTGTCACTTTGTGGGTATGTCATCTCCCCTGGCTAAGATTATAAGCTGCCATTATCCCCAGGGAGTCTAGAACAGATGTTCACTCAGCAGATATTTCTTGAGAAATTCTTAAGTTCAATAAGTTTATATTCCTTTGTCGAGGCAATTTAAATGAGAAGACTTGCCTTCATCAAACAGGGCCAGTGTCCAAGAGGTGAGGTTTGTAAATTTTATAAGCATCTGGAGGGTGAAAGGGTTCAAGAATCGCTGATAGTGACTGTGGCAGAGGGGATTGGGTGGGAGGTTTCACATGCTGCCCTCCTACCCACAGCGTCAAGCCCAATTTCTTAGCTTAAAGTGAGGTGCCCCTCTGCTTGTGCATGGGTCCCCAGCCTCTGTCCAGCTTTCCTTATTACAGATCCTCCCTCCAGTACATAACCTGTTACACTGCCTGTATTTCAGCCCCACTTTCTAGTTTTTTTCTCCAAGGAGCTATGCTTTTTCTGGCTTCTGGCCCCCTGCTACAAATGCCCTTCCCACACCCAACATGTTCACATTTATTTATTTTTTTTTATTTACTTTTTTTTTTAAGCTGAGCCATCCTGCTACCTGTTGGCAGCTCAGTGGCTGCTCAGCTCGGGCTGGACTCGAACCGCTGTTGCTCAGAGCTCAAACTCTTGAGCGAGCTCTTAACCAACTGAGCCACTCGGCCGGCCCCATGTTCACATTTAATCAAAAACAGCCGCCTTATATCAAGAACCTACTACAACCAACACCCTGCCTAGGTGCATTCCACATACTATCTTATTTATCCTCAATAACAACCCTTTGAGTAGGTTTCATCCCCATTCTACAGGGAGGGAAAATGAGACACAGAATGCTTCAAGTCATGAGCCTAGTTAGAAGTGGAACTGGGATGTGACCACAGGCCTATCTTTCTGAAGTCTTTCCGAAGTGCAACCTTTCTCTACCGCCCCCTATAGAGAGGAAGCCATTCAGACCCCCAACCCCTCTTAGGGTAGAGAAGTAGCCCTACTGTGCTCCCCTGAACCTCATTGGCTTAGTAGCCCAGGCCTAGCACATGGAGGTGTTTAGTAAACATTTATTCGTGGATCGTGGTATCCTGCCATTTACTTTAGAAAACAGACAGGCTATAAATAGATTCTTATCATGAATGTTAATAAATTGGCTGTTACTGAGAGATTGTGGTCTTCAGCTCAAACAAAAGACACAAAATGAATAGTGATTTTGCTTTAAGCTGACCAGGAGCCTGTGAAAGTCAAATTTCTTATGAACCAGCAAGGAATTTTCTACTCCAGTATCAAAAATAATTCTCCCTTTTATCCTTCCTTTTCTCTCCCTTTCTCTCATTCATTCATTCATTTATTCATTCATTCATTTGTGGTTTTGGCTTTATTTTTATAGGACATATCAAGATAGTAGGTTCTCTCCTAATGGGTCCATTCTTCCTTTGTGTGAGTGCATTTTTGAGGCATTCTCAGCCGTTTGTCAGGAATATGCTCATGTCATCTCTGCTGGTTGCGTTTCCACCCCTCCCTTCATCTTTATAATTCAGCATTTCTCAGTCCTTTATGTCTAAACAGATCAGTGTGGTGTGCACCCTAACTTGCAGTTTTTCAGCAGCTCTGAACTTGTAAAGTACTTCTAGCCCATCTCCTTCCCTGTGTACCTCTGCCCCCTCTCCTCCCTCAGTCAGCTCACCTTTGTCCTTGTCATTCTCACAAACTGGAACTCAGCTGAGCCTTAAGCTGAAGTTCCACTGAAACACTGGAGTCACCAGCACCCTGAGTTTCTCATCTTCCCTCTATCCTCATTTTGGACACACATCCCTTTTTCCCCTTGAATCAGTCTTCCCTCTCCCCTCTCCTCTCTCTATTTCTTCCTCTCTCTTTCTTTCATTTTTAAATTGAGGTGAAATTTACATGCCATAAAATTAACCATTTTAAAGTATACCATTTACTAGTTTTTAGTACATTTACAGTGTTGTGCAACCACTACCTCTGTGTATTTCCAAAACATTTTCATCACCCCAAAAGCAAACCCTGGCCCCCTATAACCTTCCCCCTAGCAGTCACCAATTTGCTTTTTATCTCTATGGGTTTAAGTCTTCTTCGTATTCCCTATAAATGGAATCATACAGTACATGGCCTTGTGTGTCTGGGAACCGCCCTTTACCTAGTTTTCATGGGCTCCCGCTTATTAGCTACAGGATACTCACAAAAACACCTTAGAAGAGTCATCAGGAGCCATGGCCTCGCTTTATTTTTTACTGTGATGCTACTATTGAGGACACTGCAGTTTCAACATTCAGAATTTTACTTGTTTTCCTGTTTTGTGGTTTCTTTCATTTTAACTTTTGCCCTCTCAGGCTTAGGCCTAGTATTGTCAGAATAAATAGCTCTGTCTATAGGCTGAGATTGTGTTTTTCTAGATCTGGCTTTCACTTCCCCCAAACACCCTCTCCCACCTTGATCTTGTAATGTACTTGGAGAAACCCACTGCATTTAGGCTCCTTTCCCATCCCAAGGCAGCCAATGAAGTTTGCCATTTAAAAGGCCATCACAGGCCTTCACACATTTTCCATTTGCTTTCCAAAGAACCTGCCTTTTGAAATAACAGGAATAATCTGTAATTAGCACTTGAAAACAAATTTATTTAACTTTAGAAAAGGACATTATATAATCTATTTATATTTCAAGTCAGCGATGAATTAGGACTCAGATATTAAAGTATTGTAAAAGAGTGTTTCCCAGTTTGTTTTTTACTAACCCACAGTGAGAACTGTGAGAAATACAGTTTTCATTATGACACCGTAGCTGTGTGTGTGCAGTAAATACACATGGACAATCATAGTGTATATATTGATATGAAACAAAAGTTACATAAAAAA